GCTGCCGAGCAGCCGTCCCCTTACGGGCTTGCTGCCTGCCGTGCTTGCTTGGATGAGTCTGCGACATGCCTAATAAGAGACGAGATGGGCCAGGGCGACGAGAGCGACCGCATTGTGATCAACGTGGGAGGGACTAGGCACCAGACTTACCGCAGCACCCTACGCACCCTGCCTGGCACTCGGCTGGCCTGGATCGCCGAACCCGGCTGGCCTGGATCGCCGAACCCGATGCCCACAGCCACTTCGACTATGACCCCCGCACGGATGAGTTTTTCTTTGACCGGCACCCGGGCGTCTTTGCCCACATCCTGAATTACTACCGCACAGGCAAGCTGCACTGCCCCGCGGACGTGTGCGGGCCCCTGTATGAGGAGGAGCTGGCCTTCTGGGGCATCGATGAGACCGATGTGGAGCCCTGCTGTTGGATGACCTACCGGCAGCACCGTGACGCCGAAGAGGCTCTGGACAGCTTTGGTGGGGCACCCCTGGATAGCAGTGCCGAGGACGGAGACATAGATGGCACCGGAGACTCTGGTGATGGTGAAGAGGAGCTGGAGATGACAAAACGCCTAGCACTTAGTGACTCCCCAGATGGCAGGTCTGGGGGATTCTGGAGACGGTGGCAGCCCCGCATCTGGGCGCTCTTTGAGGATCCCTACTCCTCCAGATATGCAAGGGTAAGCTATGCAATCAGCTCCCTCATCACAACACTAGAACCTCCCTTCAGTCCCACTTCCTCCCAACATCATCAGGGCTATCTCCACTGGCAAAGCAGAGCAGCCATCCATGTGTCTAGCCATACAAAAATCACGCACGGGCTATGGGGACATAACCCACGCACTTGAGCAGGCCTGATGCATGGGGCACGAGTGGACACCAAGGCATGAGCTCATGTACTCATCTGTGGGCTTCCAGAGACCCTTATTTTTTAACAGGCTCCTAAAAAACCCACAGCCTGGGGCAGGGTCCCATTTGTGGGCCAGGGAGATCTCCATTATACCAGGCAATTTCCATCCATGCACAGATTTTTACAGTCATCTCCCAGTAGAGAGGCACCTTATCCAGCTCTCTTATGAGCTAACGGCTCTCTCCCGTCTATGAGACGGAGAAAGGATCACGGGAGCAGGCAGTCCTTGGGAGACCAGGGGATTTGGAGACTTTCTCAGCCTGGACTGGAAAGGGAGTCTGTTCCTTTCTCTCTTCTCATACGTACCATGTTAAATATTTATGATCATGCTTCTCTGAGAATGGGTAATTCAGTTCCTCACCTCCTCACTCTGTCTTTTCCCTTGTGGGAAATGCAAAGTATTAATCAGAGGAGAGGGTTCATTCATGTAGAAGGGACACTGTGTTTTACAGGTTTCTTGCCTGGCTACTGAAGGACAACTCCTCCCCTCCTGGTGCCTGCGGTTGTTTTGGAAAGGGAATGCACACTGGTGCAGTTCACAGCATAGCTGTGGATAAAGATGGTCTTAAACAGTCACCCGACTCCTCTAAGTAGGTACCTTTCATGCTATTACATATGAGGATAATTACATTAATTAGGGCCTGATTCTGCTCCTGAAGTCAAAAGTCGAGAAAACATTTACTTCAGGAGCAGCAGCAGGATTAACCCCCAAGATACCCATATTGATAAGCAGGAAAATAGATGAAGGATAGTGCCTTCACAAAGTTGATTTGGATAGGTTTTACTCCTCTCTTAAACCTACCTTTGTTACAGCATAATTGCTGTCAGCCCTCCGTAGGGACAAGTGGTGCTTTGGTGTGGGAGGACGATCAGTGTTCCTGAGGAGGATCAAAGAAATGAGATCAGATTAGGGAGCAAGTTGGATGGATGAAGGAAAGGGAAGTGGAAATGCAGGGAGCGGGGACACGGGAGCGGGTCGTCTATGAATGGGTGGTGGAAGAGCAGCTGCTGGAGACTTTCGGTCTCAGCAGAGGTCTCCAGCAGGAAGCCGCCAGGTCTGCAGACTGAATGAATGGGGAAAGCTGGAGCAGAGCCTGGAGTTATATCTTGGTGCATTTCTAAAGATTCTTGTTTGCATACCCTTTGGAGATTTCCTCCCTGAACAAAGAAGTTAATATTTTAAATGAATTCCTTTAAACAGCATGGAGGATAAAGGAATAATAAAGTATTTACCATGAGATGAAAGGATGATGCTGTTGAATTGCAGCTTTCAAATCCCTGATTTCTGCCAAGGGAACAAGGAAATGGAGAGGGAATGCTGGAGGGTATCCTTCAAAAGGCTTAGTTAGCTTCCTTTAATCAAGCCCAATGTTACCAGGCATTGATTTGAATAGCAGATCTCTCTGGTGCCCAGGAATCTGCTGGTAAAACACACTTCAAGTCAGGGCAGTGTGCTTGTCCAAGATTTTGTGGAATGGTCCAAAAGCCAAATGGATAATGCTGTCCCAATGAAAAGGATACAAACAGAGGCTAAAACAGCCTTTTGCTTGGAAGCATCATGATATTTTAGGTTGGAGGACAAAATCTATAACCCATATTAAGAGTCTTTGTCATGAACAAGCTGGAATTCTAGGAAGATATAAATTCCATTTTCTAATTCTCTATGGGTATTTTCATTTAGAAATAGGCATTTTATAAAGTGATTTGGGTTTGTTTGTTTTGTTTTTTGCAGTGGATGTTATGCCATTTATTCACAATTACATGTGCATACCTGGTAGAATTCAACCCCTGATTTACCTCTAACTTTTCTTTCCTTAAAGGATTGTTATGCTAGAGAAGTATGAATTCTGGGCAAAGTTGAAGTGTATACTGAATATTTCATGGGTTAAGTATGATCTTTAACTTGTATCTATGGAGACGTAGGCCATATGCATTAATATCTTGCATGAAGGAAGATGGCTTTCATCATCAACACATGCACACATTGTCCATTAAGAAGACATTATAAGACACTTAACATTTTCTAATAAAACCCATATGTTATGGTTATGGATGTAAGAAGAGATGGGAGTTTGATTTATGCTCCTGTAACCTAATGAACGCAGACATTGCAAAAAGACCTCAAACTCACAATAGCTAATTTACAGTAAAATAATTGACAGCATCATTAACAGGTGAACAGTATATTAAAGCAATCCTTAGTACAGTCGAGTCAGGCAACAAATCCACTATTGCCTCACTTTGAATTGTGTACACTACTTTCAATTACAAACTGTATTTCAGTCATGCAAAAATTTAAATTCACATTGCCATTTTGTCAACAAAATACATCATAAAAATTTGTCATCCTAACTGGATCTGAGACTTGTACTAATAGTGGTTATTATATACACGTTTGATGTTTACATATGGCATCAAAATGTATGTCAAAATAACATCTTAATATAAGCATCAGTTTACATAACCATTATACTGTTACACTTGGGCAAGTAAAAGGAATACAGTATATGAATATTAAGATTAAATGAAAACCTGCATATCTGAATAAAGCAAGATTTCTCTGGACTATATCTGGTAGACTGATTCAGTGAATGTTTAGGAACGGTCTATGGAAAGCTCAGCATTTACTCAAATCTAGCTATTCCTGGAGCATTTTGATGGACACTGCTTACAAATACAAGTACAATTGACTGTTTTACTTCACCAGCACCTAACTCATACTAAATTACATCTGATCTCATTGTAGACAGCCAGGGGAGACTGGAAGAGCATTTGTGTAGGTCAGGCAAAATCAGCTAACTCTGCACATTTTGTCTATTTCTAAACTTACTTTGATAAAGCATAAGCTCCCAGTCACTAATTATTTGTCTTCAGGTGCATCATAGCCAACTCTTTCTTGTTAAAACAACAGTGTCTGAGTTTAATGAAGTTCTAGTTTTCTAAACATTAATTTCTTAAATAAGGTAGTTCTTTCTAAAAACATAAAACACTTTTAAAAATTGCATTGTCTTCCAAATCTGTAATAAGAAAAGGTAGCTTGTTTCAACTCAGATTGCCTTAGAGACCTACCTTAATAAGATAAATGGGCGTCACACTTCTCTGTAACTTAAAGAATCCACATTCGGATAACAGAGGCAAAGTCTGGTACCTGGAGGTCTGAACAGAATAACAGATAAGGTGATGGAAAAGATCAGATTTACAGAGATACTGGTGCACATGCAGACAGAGAGGCATCTAGCCGTATTTTCTAAAGCATCTAATAAGGCAGCTAAATATCACTGTATGTCAATGGATATTGTGCACCTAAATTGGTGTGACGTTTCTTTAAAGCTTATTGGAACTGTCTTTTTTGCATCAGGCAACTTCTTAAATTTATTTTTTATAAGTAGACACAAAAGGTGAAGTATACTTAGAGTCACACAGAAAGCTACACAGATACACTAAAGCAGCATATCTGAGAGTTACGACGTACTAGAGTTCCTGCCTTCTCCACTCATTAGACTTCACAGGCCCCTCAGTACACAAATGTGTGAAAAATACTTTCTTAGCTTCCTCTCTCCTTTATATTTATGTCTGGCCATGCTGTTCTTACACTAGCGAAGCTCCCACTGACTTCCTGTGGAGTTTGGCCTGCAGATATCTTTGCCCCCTTCTCCTCCCCAGCAGGATAAGGTTGTGTTTGTGTTAATTCACAGTCATTCGGTTAGTCAGTGTTCGGGAAGCAGGAGCTTTCAGCTGAGATTCTGCGCTAACGCTCATTTTCAAATTGGATGGTTAAGCTTCATTAATGAACCCTCAGGAAAGCTTTTATAGTCCTTCCAAATAAACATTTTTACTGTTTTTAAATAAAAGCTGATTGGGGTCCTATGGAAAGTCCTCAACAGCTTGACTTGCCATCCTGGCATATGCTATACCGCTCTGATCTGGAAGAGGAAAGGCTTATGGCAAAACTCACACTCACCCTTCCCTCATGTTCTCCCTTCACATCCTGCAGAAGGTTCTGCTTTCCTCAGTGGGTGATTTTTGAAGGACAAGTTTCTGACGCTGAGAGTGAGACAAGAAAAAGATAATGGGGAAGAGATGAGAAAAAGGTATTCCCCAGGGATTTCTTCTATCTTTCTTCTCTACATTCAAGACCATTTCAACCTTGCTGTGTTCATTTAAACTGATTTTTCTATATATGCACTACATCCAGTAGGTACCACAAGGCTTATGGGATCCTAGTTCCTGAATAACCATACTGTCTCAAAGCTTAGAGGCTGGGGTAATTTCCACTCATCCTTTACCCTGTCACAGTACAGCTAAGCTCAGGAATGGGGGAAAATATCAGAGAGTGGGAATAGATACTCATCACCCTTCACAAGGGGAGCTTACTCTGCGGCTGTCTGACACGGGACACACTTCGCACAGGAGTGCTTCAAGGACAGTGCTCTGGGGGCTCCGGCTGAGCGTAAGCAGACGGGGAGAGAGGAGAGAGGAGAGAGGAGAGCTGCCCCTCACACCCTCCTACCCACAAGCACCCCTTTCCCCGGAGAGGGCTTTCATCAAAGGGGCCCTGATGGAGCTGCTCTCGCACCTTGGGCCTTTCTGCAGGGTCTTCCCTGCAGAGGCATATCTGATCCTGCACTGAAGCTGGCTGCAGTAATTCTCACCCATATACTTCGACAATTAACGAGACAGCCTAATTTAATTGCACTCTGCATTACAGCTTTGGAAAAATGAGAATCTTTCCACATTAAATGAAGTTGCCCCTGCACTTGCACTATAATG